CTCCCCGCTGAGCAGGGAACCCGATGTGGGGCTCAATCCCAGGACCCTGGGATCATGACCTGAGCCAAAGGCAGCCGCTTACCCAACTGAGCCACCCAGGCTCCCCATAAAACTCTTTTTAATAAACATCGAGCATGACTCAGCAGTCAGCTTCTTATACCCAGCAGTCAGATGCCCACTGAGTGGCCCTTTCCTCTCAGCAGCCATCAGTTGTGGGGTTACCTTTCTCCTCAGTGCCTCAAAACCTCTGCTGCTACAGGTGGGCAGTCTTGTGGTTTCACCCTCATCAAGCCAGAAGGGCTAGTGATACCAAAACCCAGCAGAAGTTTTCCTGCTCCTGCCCCATGCCACCCCTGCACTGGTCTCCTGCCAACAGCATCCAGGCACCTGTCCTCTTCTCACCTTCCCTTCACCTTCTTCCGGCTCAGTGGGGAAGCTCAGGAGGCAGGCTGTACTTAAGCTTTCATTTGGAAAACAGCACACCTATCAGCCATATGTTTGTCTTACTCTATAAAGTCTAAACTAAAATAAGAAAATAAAGCCTTCTTTGTAGGAAGGAAAAAACAAAGACCTAGAAAACTTCAAAAGGCCTGGGGGAAGCAGCAGGACTAATCCAAGCAAAGGACCTTTTTTTCAAACACGATCTCATAGCAGGGTTCTTGACATTTCTTTGTGGCAAAGAACTCTCTGGAACTCTGCAAGCTCCTAAGCCCCTTCCCAGAACAATGTTTTACATGCATAAAATAAGAGCACACAGGATCACAAAGGAAACCAATTATAGTGAAATACCAATTATCAAAATATTAAAAAATGCTTAAGATGTGGGAACATATCCTTCTCTAGCAGTAGTTTAATTCCAATTTAATTTCTAAGCACTGATGAGCATAATTTAAGATAGCTGCTACAAACATAATGCTATTTGAAAAACCTACATTTATTAGTGAGAAAGACACAGATGCTGCTTATAATACTGTGATCTGTTGCCTGTATTTATAATGAAAGGAAATGCTAAATATTACTGAGAGGTTAGTGAAAAATAACAGTTTTATTCTGAGTTCACAGACCTCTCTGAATTCTCTCTGCAGACCCTGATCGATAAAGCAGCTGGAGACACAGCTTCACCAGCTTAAACAGAAGGAGAGGGCTGGTGGCAACAGCTCTTGGCTTCTCCCTTACTGCCTCTTCCTCCCGCACCCATACCCCCAAACCCCAGTGAAAAGCCAGCTTCAGGGCTTCTGGGAAGACTGCTTGAAAACCACACAGAAAGAGGGCTACTATTCCACAAATACTTGCTGAGAGTATTTCTGTGATAGCAGGTCTGTGCTTATTTCCCACTCTCCTGGGCATATCTGTACATATTTGGTGAATACAGTATATAGAGGATCGGGTCCTTCTTACCTCGTTTTATTCTTTTTTACTCTTTTATTCTCCTGTTTTAACCCTTTGTTTTGTTATAGCCCAACAGCTTTTAGCATGCCTTATTTTCTCATTTCTTAGCTGTTGGGTTTTGTTTACTGTACTTCATCTCTAGATCACACTATTTCTTTGTTAATGCATCATTTCCCTTTCCTTGTTTTGTTTTTTAAGTGAACAGTGGGGGAAAAGTTGATCATCGGGTTGTAGGCCCCCAGTGAACAGATCACGACCCAAAGAGGAAGATTTGGAAATTCTCCCTCCTGCTCTCTCAACAGCAGCCTTTCTAACTCTCCTTAAAAGATCCCTGGGACTCTTAATCTTGAAGCCCCTAAACTTTTAAACCTGTGTTCTTCAGGAGATTCAAAAGCTAAAATTCTCTCCTGGGACGACAGGATGATAACCAGCAGGTATGTTTGTCGGCAGCACCCTGAACTGCTGGAATTTGGAACTACTTACTTGTGCACCTGATGGGACAGCAGATGCTCATTAGCTTGCCACTGATCACTGTAGGGTCAAAACTTCTTTGGCCCTAATACTCTTATGATAATCACTGTGGAGGATCTGATCACTAGAATAGGAGGGGATGTGGCAGCTATGCTCCACTTATTGAGCGTGGTCTGCACTGGCTAAGGCAGTGAAAGAGCTGAGCTAATGACAGAGGCGGCCGCCCAAAGTTCTGTTGTGGGCCTTATTCTCAAAGACAGTACTGCCTGGGGAATGAGAAATCCTTAGGGCTGTCGAGCAAGAAGCTGTCAGTTGTATGGGATTAAGAAATCCCTTCAACATTTCCTCACCCTAGACTTGTGATTGACCTTTCCTCTAAGATGCCTAAAGTCATCCCATCTAGAATGCACGCAGAAGGCCTAGCCAGTGGAAACACCATGGGCCTCTGGTGTCCTCAGGATTAACATTCTTGCTATCAATTAAGGCAGAGAACCCCCAAGAGTTCATAACATGTAACTTCTAATTTTGCTGAGGCACAACTGTTTTATATATTCTCTAAGGGTGGAAAGCAAAAGAGTGAGACATTTAGCTAATGGGTGAATCTAGCCAATCTCCATTATCTATATCTTGATGTAGTTTTTTGAGGTTATACCTAGTCCCATATACATATAACAGTAATCTCATGAAGTCACAAAAATGTTTACTTCTTAAAAAAAAAAGCTAAGAAAAAGCCAATCTTCTTGGCAATGGGAGGGAGAACAGAAATCAAAAAGTGGTAAGTCATAGTTAGAACATTAGTTTTGTTTTTTAACTGAAGTATTGTTGAAATTCAGTATCATATTAGAACATCAGTTTTGATTAAGCAAAGGATGGGACGTCACACTAAACAGTGGCTCAGATTTAAGATGGGTAAGAGTCTTGTATATGTTCTGTATGAAAACAGGAGAGAGATTTTAGAAAACTTTCAGTAAGACTCCAGGCCAAACATCATGTGAAGAATCATGGATGGTCTTAAAGGCAGGACTTAAATTTCTCAGTTAAACTTTAATGTACAAGGAATGGGACAGTGTTTAACTTACTGTTCACTATACACCAGCATTTGACACAGCCTGGACATGCAGTAGGTGCTCGGTAAATACTTGCTCAACGCTGAGTCACTGAAATCAATTACATGCTACAGAGGTACCTGTAAATTTGGGATGTATTTCTTCTAAGGCTATGGCACTGTGTCCCACAGGATGGTATTCTAAGGAATAATTTCTCTTTAGATATTGTAACTATTTCTGCATTTTGCCATTGACAAAGCAAAAGAATGAGAAGTGGGCAGATGCTAGCCCAATACACCTTCCACCACAGGCAAAAATAACTGTCAAGGAGCCTCACAGTGCCAAAGAACCACTCAAGAAAGACAGGGCTTACTCTCATCAAGGAATCCCTTTATATTTATCTTAATGGAGTAGAGGGCAATTGCAATTATGATTTTAGGACTCAGAATTTAAACTTTTTTTTTTTTTTAAAGATCTTATTTATTCATTTGAGAGAGAGAAAGAGGGAGCACGAGTGGGGGAGCAGCAGAGGGAGAAGACAACTCCCCACTGAGCAGGGAGCCCAATGTGGGGCTGAAGCCCAGGACCCTAGGATCATGACCTGAGTCAAAGGCAGATACTTAACCGACTGAGAAACCCAGGTGCCCCAAGAATTTAAACTTATGACATCTTTAAAGGCAAATAAGATTTTAAAAGTGTGAAATCTAATCTGCTTAAGATGTACATTTCAACAGAAAACACCAAAAGGTGGTAGAATTTATCCAATTCAGAAAGAAAAAGGGGCTCATTACTATGTAGTAAAATCATGTGAAAAAAATTGAATAAATTTTCAGATATAAAGAAAACTTTAAAAACTGAACCCAGATGGAAAAAATAAAATACTCTCTTAAAGCAAAGTAAGATCAAATGGCAAATTTTAATGTAATGCTTATTAGAAAACATTTTAAGTTTCAACTGGAGTCTATTTTTGAATCGTAGCAATTGGAACGAATCATAAATCAGATTTTTAAAACAATAAAGAATCAAAGTAAAGAGTAGTTATAGGGTGGGGCGCCTGGGTGGCTCAGTGGGTTAAAGCCTCTGCCTTCAGCTCAGGTCATGATCCCAGAGTCCTGGGATCGAGCCCCGCATCGGGCTCTCTACTCAGCGGGGAGCCTGCTTCCTCCTCTCTCTGCCTGCCTCTCTGCCTACTTGTGATCTCTGTCTGTCTAATAAATAAATAAAAATCTTTAAAAAAAAAAAAAAAGAGTAGTTATAGGGTATCATTTTTTCATATCTGATTAATGAAAAACCAAATATCAGAGTAAATCATAATTTATTTGACATCCCCTTATTTAATAAGCTTTAGGTTATTCATGTCTTTTGCTACTATATTTGGTACTGTACTGAACATGCTTCTTTTTCTTTGTACACATGGGTGTGTATCTGTAGTTCACAGTGGAATTGTTCACAGCTATGAGAAAGAATGAAGTAAATGTGGTAACGTACAAAAAGTTTTAAAATGTAGTGTTAATTAAAAATAGATGAATAGTGCAAACAGACTGTATTTCCAACCAAATAAGTAAGGGAGAGAAGAAGTAGATACATAAAATTTTTCACCTATCAGACTGACAAAAAATGCAGAAATATAAAAATTCCTGTTGACCAAGTTGTAAAAACAGGCCTTTCTCACAGATTGCCGGCAGGTATGTTAGTTGGTGAAGTCTCAGTGGAAAGCAATTTGGCAAGAGCTATTGTAATTACAAATATATATACTTAAGAGAATTACGTGCAAAATTACAAGTGTACAAGGTTGTTAATTACTCCATTGCACCTAATACAAAGAGAGAGAGCAAACAACCTCAAGCTTCTATCTACAACGGGGAACTGATTTAAATAGTATATTCATAATATGGAATATGATGCAGTTATAAGAAATGAGGAAGCCTCTCTGCCTACTTGTGATCTCTCTCTGTCAAAAGAAATGAGGAAGCTATCTATATACTGATATGGAAATATCTCCAAAATGAGAACTTAAAAAGCAAGGTGCTAAACATATAATACCTACGACCTTTTGTAAGAGAATATACAAACCAAATAGAATAGAAAACTTACTTATAAAGGTAATACTCTGCATGGTCTACCTCTTCTCTAGAGGAAATGTTGTCCACAAACTAAAAGATAGAAAAATAAACTTTGGTTAAATACAGATTATGCCATACACTGGATCTAATTCATAAACTGACCTTAAAAAAGGTAAGACACCCATTTTGTTGGACCACTGTTAGCATGGTATGACTTCATCCTTGAAACCGTTTTATACTAAGGCAAAGAATATACACTGGCTTCTCTCTTCCTATGTGCAGATCAATCCTGGTTAGATAAACTGAAAACCAAACATGAAACTTGCTCAGAACAAGAGAGAGCTCCTCTTACTATGTGTATAATTAGCTATCAGTATCTCCCTTTATCTTTAAACCCTGATATTTTCTCTATGTTCCAAGTTCCAAACGTGAGAACACCACTTTCCTACTCTGATTTCCTACTCTGGTTTTGTACTCTGGTTCAGAGTCAACCTGTGATCCTTGCACCAACAAAGTCTTCCTGTGAACCACAAAATCCCTGTGTGTGCTCCTTAACTCTAAAGTAAAGAAACAGAAAAGAATTATTCCAAGAATGTATTCTACCCTGACACAGACACACAGGCAAAAAGGATGGAGTAGGAGAAAATGCATGTTGTGAATATAATTAAAGCCTCATAAAGAGGAAGAGAGAGTAAAAAGGAGAAGACTTTCTAAAAATGCCTAGGACTTACGGATTTTATTTAGAAATCTCATTAAGGAGCAGAGAAAATATGCTTCAAACACAGGACTGAAAGTTGAGAACTAGCTCTCCTGATTGCTTGCTATGTGGCAGAGACAGATGGCACAGTCGTTCTGGAACTTAGCTGTTCCATCTGCATAACTAGAATAAAGGCACCTGCATTGAAGAGTGTAAGGCCCCAGTGAGAAAATGTACATGAAAGCCTGTTAAGCTCTAAAGTGCTGCTTACACAAATATCAGGTATTATGGCATATAGAAATTATATCCATCATGTAAGAGATGAGCAATGGCTTTTCAGTTCCCCTCTGAAAATGAGGAGTCTACACAACTTAGGTTATGTCCTAGTTAAAACTATTTCCCTACTAAAAGGAAAATATCAAAAGGGAGAAAGAAAGGACCCAGACCAAAAAGGGTAAGAGTTTCTTTACTTCTCCTCATTTAGACTTAACAACATCTTGAATTTTATGGTGCCATTAATTTCAACAAAGAATTTTCACAACTAAGATTTCATTTTGGCATCACACCCTACAACACATGTAGGGTGATACTACTGATCCCACACTGGAAATGAGGAGATTGAGAGGAGCCCAGTAGATAATGTCACAAAGTAAATTCATGATAAAGAAAAGATCTCTTTGAGGAAGGCAACTGAAAAGCAGTTGGATGTCACAGAGATCTGGGTTTGAAGCTCACTTTTTTACTTATGAACTGTGTGAACTTGAGAAAGTTACCAACCAGTCTGAGTCTTACATGTAAAATGAAGTTTACAGTGCTTATCTCAAATAGCCGCTATAAGAATGAACAGAGATAATGTATATTAAGAAACGAGTAAAATGGCTGGCATAGGTGTTCAGTAACGGTTACTATCAACGGCTATTCCCGATTCCCAGCCTAATATTATTCTCCCCTCCACTGCACTGCAGATAATTTAACATTAACAATATCCTTTCTTTTACAGACTTCCTCAAGTATCAAAATCACTTCCAATATTAACAAATGAATACTATTACTTTGAAGGGTGTACCAACTTAAAAAAATCATGATATCACAAAACAGAATATATTCTGGAAAAATAAAAATAAATCAGATACATAAAAATGATCAGTGATATCAGAGTCTGGTAAATTTATTACCTTTTATTTCGGTTATAGAAATTTGCTACTTTACCACAAAACACTTTTAGTAACCACAAAAACATACCATACTCTGGAGAAATATTTCCTATGAAGTCTTTATCTACACAGCCTCATGTATATAAAGAGCCTCTCGTCCTCCCTCTTTGAAAATATACATGTTTAAGTTTTCTTACCCGTGATATTGTTAGAGAACTAACAGGCAACTTTCTCTCATATGTTTTATCCATTAAAGATGCTAGTTCAGCTGTGAAGACAAAGAAGGAAAAAGAACCTTGTTAAATATACATATTTCTTAAGAAAAATCTAACAGATACAACTCCTGCCAGATGGCTGCCAATACTGTAAAGTTACTATTAAAACAGATGCTCTTCCTTGCTCTTTTTAGAAATCATTTTTATATAAATTAAAGAGGATAAAGGACCATTAATAATATTTTAAAAAATGATTTATTTAAATGGAGTAAGGAATATTTTAAAAATCCTACCATGTTTTTAGCATTTAAAAAATAGATCAGTATCTCAGCTCAGGTCTCAATCTCAGGGTCGTGAGTTCAACCCCTGAGTTGGGCTCCAAGCTGGGTGTGGAGCTTACTTAAAAAAAATAAAAATAAAATATCGATCAATAGGGGCACCTGGGTGGCTCAGTGGGATAAGCCTCTGCTGCAGCCCTTCAGTCCTGGGATGGAGCCCCGCATCACGCTCTCTGCTCAGCGGGAAGCCTACTTCTTCCCCCACCCCCACTCCCGCCTGCCTCTGCCTACTTGTGATCTCTGTCAAATAAATAAATAAAATCTTTAAAAAAAATTGATCAATAAAGTATCTTTGGAAGGAAGCACAGGGAAGTGTTATCATTGACAGACTCTAGGGAAAGGAATTAGACAGTAGGGACCCAAGGAAAGAAGACAGTTCATTGCTTACATGTTTATTCCTTTTGCATTTTGAACCAGGGAGCTATATAAGTGATTCAAAAATTTAAAGGCTGGAATTTATCAAATGACTTTTACACATTTTCTGAACAAATCAGAGAAGCACTCTGTCTACATTTAATGACTTTTGGACTGAACTATTCCTACTGGTTCCTTTAAGCAAAATATTCACAGAAATATGTGGCATTCCTGAGATTACACTATCTCAGAGTCTAAAAGTCTGAAATACTAAACAACATACTCTCCAAAAGGATTATTTCACACCTTCCCATTGCTTCTCAAACTTACAATATGCTCTTTCCCCCTCTTCCCTCCTCTCAGCTCATGACTTTGTGTCTTATTTTCCCGAGTATAAAATATAAGCAATCAAGAGAATTTCACCCTCCTACTATCAGGTTTCCAGGCTATCAGGATCTGTGCACATAGACTCTGCCTTCTATTTTTTAACAAAGGATGAACTTTACTAAACAAACAAAAAATCAAAATGATAAAAATCTCCCTTGACTTCCTATCTCCTTCCAGCTTCTCCTCTGTTCTGTTCCCCTCAGCAGCAAGAGTTCTTAAAACAGTCCTCCTTGATACATCTGCTCAGTCCCGGGGTGATCTCATGAGCTTTCACTCTCCCACAGCTTTAATCATCATCTACGGATCATTTGCTCCTCACGTACATGCTTACCCTGACTTTTGCCTGTAAGTTCAGACTTGTGTTTCCAACTTCAGAGGGGACATCTCCCTCTGGAAGTCTAATACGTATCTAAACATGGCATGTCCTCTTAACTCTCCAACCTCAAACCTGCTTTCCCCCAAGCATTTCCACTCTCAGTAAATGGCCACTACATTTGCTGGCTTATGCAGGTAAAAAAATCTAGGCATTATCCTAAACCCCATTCTTTTTCATTCTATAACCAACTGTAAGCAAATCCTATGGGATCTAGATGAAATACATATTTTTCACCATTAGCACTACTAACCTCTCACCTCCTGACTAGTCATCTTAACTACTAATTAACTACTACTAACTACTGCCCCCACCCTTACGATCTAACCTTCAAACAGCAGTTTGAGTAAGCCTTTTAAAAGATAAATCGGATCCTGCCATTTACTTTTCTCAAGCAGCCAACAGCTTGCTATCATACATGGAATAAAATCCAAAATATTTTCTATGATCTACAAATGCCTACATAAGTTAGTCTGTGTGTGTGTGTGTGTGTGTGTGTGTGTTCCTGTCTTTTATACTTAGAAGTAAAATCCATGAAGGCAAGGGCTTAATTCACTGATGTATTCTCAGTCCCTAGAACAGTTTTTATAAATGGAACCCAATAAACATCTTTAAAAAATTAATAAAAGGCACAGACCTGTATCCCTGGGGCTAGTAATACATTATATGTTTATTAAAAAATAAAAAAATTATTAAATTTTAAAAAATTAAAAAATAAATTATAAATTAATAAAAGGAAGAAAGGAAGGGAAAGAGAGAGGGAGGGAAGGGCGAGAAGAAGGAAGGAGAAAGAAGTAATTGAATTTCCAAGATTTTTACTCCCTGGTAGAAGAAATTTGTGTCAAGTAAAAAGAGGACAAAGATAGTCAATCTGCAAGTATCTGTTGAAGACTTTTTGCTGTGCATTTAACCATTTTTTCCTTCTTTCCTTTTCCTGGGGCAAAGCTCTCAATGACTCAGTAGCTACTGTGAGAAAGCAACACTAAATCCTGAAAACCTGGTATGATGTAAAAGTGATTACGTTTCTTATGATTATCTTAAAGAAACTGACACCAGGTGATTAAAGAATACACACACACACACACAACACAAAAAGAAGTCCCCAAATCCTATTCATATTAAGGTAAATTAATATTGCAAACAGAATGATATTAAACAGGTCTCATGATACCAAATCTTTATGATAAACACTCGATTGAGTTGGCTTCTGTACTGTGGTAACTCAAGATTCCCTTTTAATCCTTCACACCAAGACATCATCAGTCAAGTGAAATTGGTTGGGAGCTTCAAAAAGGCAACAGCTGCAGAGCCAGTATCAGAGGAATAACATTTGCATATTAGAAGTCAGAGAGGGATCTGCTGCTAGGTATTATATGTGACCAATCACCTTATGCGACAGTGTCGGTGTGATGAATGAGGCAGAAAAACTGCACAGAGCAGGGATGGCCAGGAAAGCTCGGGCAGCTGTGGCCTACAGAGGGCCAGCACCCCAGGCTTCTGGACCATGAGCTTTAACAGTCAAAATCACACTTCACATTTCAGTGAGGGGCCTACAGATGCCCAGGTTTTCTTCAAAGAAATGTGCCGAAGAAGATGCCTTCTTGCCTGTCATTCAGCTCCTCAGGAATATACACTGCAGAGGATGGCTGAGGTCAACAAAAGCTATATGGGAAAATAGATCTTCATCTAACAAAACTTAAAGCTGGACAGACAATCTCAAGTATGTCCAGAAAATGAAATGTATACTAGTATAAAATGTTCTTCTGGTCTGAAGAAAACATACCACTGATGATCTAGGATCATAGAAGATTTTATTAAGGACCGTATACACTATTCCAAGTATAGGAGTGTAACCATTCACAAACATGGCTAAGGATCTGAATCACTTGCAAGACTTGAAAACTTCAGATTCCTAAGTTTCACACATGCAGAGAGCAACTCTAATTCTGCAGGCTTCAGGTGAGACCGGGAAATAAAAACTTTTAAACAAAAGCCCTAAGAGACCGCGATGCACCCTTGCAGGAACTAGAATGAATTATGTCTGAGAACTACTATGGAGGCAACACAAAATAAGTCTTGGAGGTTGCTCGTAAGTTCGAAGAGGATATTAAACTGAATTCCATTTCCAGAATAAGGTGGAAAATAAAACACCTAAATCAAATATTTTTTAAAAATTCAAGTATATGACTGTGCTTTAGGTGAGAAATTATTAGATGGTTTTGGTTTTTCCTGATTCTGGTGTAAATGTGTATTGCTGTTACCCAATCAACACTAACCTTTCTGGGCTTAAGAATATTTGTGCACCATATCTAATTTATGTAATAAAGAATTAGATACAAGTTATTTTGTACCCTCTAGAAGTGATCAGAAAACAGTCCAAAGCTATGTTTTTGTTTCCCACATTTAAGAAAAACTATAAGCACACATAACCTATGTATAGAAGCAACAGAAGGAAGTAGGACAAACTAATCTAGGAACCATTCTGATTATAGATATTTAGGTTTCCATGTATCTATTTGTCACCAGAAGCTTTAAAACAAATAGTTCCAATAAAGGAAAAATCTGAAGCCAAGCTTTACATACATATACACTAAGAAAATGAGACTAAAGGAGGATGATGTGCACACCTCAGACCCATCTCTAGAACTGCCAGCAGATGATAAATGTGAAGCCTAATAAATAAATAGATGTCAGATATAGATGCAAATATGGAACTGACAAAGTCAGAAAGGCAGGTTTCAGAAAATTGTTGGGCTTCAAGAGCAAAATTTGAAAAATCACTGCAACAAGCCAAAGACCTCCCAGCTGAAATGACACAGCAAAACTAAACCTCAGCTAATGGGAGAAGTGCCTGTAAGAGATGACCACAGAGCTTAGTTTCAGCCTGAATTCAAATGTGTCAATGGTGTAATTTTCTTTGAATTTGGAAAGGGAGTTCTTAAAACAAAAACTAAAACCAAAAGGTGTCCTTGACTTTATAATTACTTATAATATGAAATATTAGAAAGAAAATATTTAATTCAGTACGGCTCAGAAATCCAGTTCAGCTCATCACCAGGGCCCTTACCCCTAGCAAGATGACCCAACAAGTGAGAGAACTTCCTCTGATGGAATGCAGGCAGCTTCCTCATCAGGCCTGCCCTCCTACTGACACTCTACTCAGTTCCCCAAAATGGTTTTCTCCTGAGCCCTCTTTACTGTGGGCCCTAGTCTGTAATTAAAAAGCTGCTAATTGGCTAATGCTGTTAACTTGCACCCTATACCTTCTCAACAGATGTGCGGGGTTAGTGGAGGAATTTGGACACAATGCTTTGATTCACTGTTTATTTTAACCAAAGGGAAACTCAGTACAGAAACAGTATAAAACAGCAATCTTCTGACTTGAGTTGGAAAGCCCAAGAATCCTAGGGATCTATAAAAGTCCAGTTGGAGAACTAAGACCCTTTCAATAAAAACATCAACTGTAATGGATTAAAATGTGTACAGTGCTTAACTCCAGGAGTTCATAATGTTATTTAAAAAAATATATCCTCATTGATCATTTTTGGAGGATGGTAGGAGGATGGAAGGATGGTAGGATTATCTTGCAAGCTGCCTCTTC